GGGGAGCAAAAAAAAAAAAAAAAAAAAGGGCAGAACTGCCCAGGAGAAGTACAGAAATATCCAGGGAAACAGCACGTCGGTCAGGATGCATCCAGGCTGACTGTTTACAAAATAGCAGTGACAAGGACAGACAACCTATCAGCACGTGCAGTCGGCTCTGGCTCCGGGCGTGCCTTGGGAAGAGAGCAAACTTACTTCCCATTGGCCTTTAGGAGCGTGACGTCATGACGACCCCCAAAGGACTGGCCAATGGGCTTTGGCGGGGAGGACCTAACACGACAGTTGAGGGCATGACAGCATCTGGGCTCACTTTCTCTTCTCCAGAAAAGTTTGGGGGCCACCTCCTGCCTCGCCAAAGATCCCCAATTGGGTACAACCTGGCTCTCGCTTGCCCCCCCCCTTTTTTTTAAAAAAGAGAACTCCCTTTTACCCAAATTCAGATTTCTGAGTTATGAGGCTCGGAATCAGAAGAGCCGGGTTCTGCGCTTACGTTACCCTATTTTTAAAGGGGGAACAATCACTTCGCCCTGGGGCAGGAACATGCCTCCTCATTTAGACCGCAAGGTCAGCCTGGCGCCTATGGGGAGAACGATCAAGTCTGGCCTGGCTGGCGCTGGCTGTGGCTGGCGCTTCTGGAAGGCAGGCAGCCCATCGTCCACCTCCAAGGTGTATGGAAGCGACGTCCCCTCCCTCCCGCCCTGGGAAGCTCCTGGAGCGAGTGGCTCTGACCCTGACTCCCGAAGAGATGCAGGCGTGGCCCAGTGACCGGACGTGCCGACGTGGGACTCTGGGAAAAGGATGGGGAAGTTGGCCAAGGGGGGGTCACCACCCGGAGTCCCGCTCCGTCTCCCACACCACGCCCCAAATCAAGCCCAGGCCGCCCTCTCACCACGCTCTGCCGTGCCGCCGCTTACCATTCCACTCGTCCCGGAGCCGACCCGGCCATTACCCCCAACCCCGACCCCCACGGAAGCGGAGGAGGAGGTAGAGGCTTCACTTCCGGAAGTAACCTAGAGTGTACCGCGGAGATCAGTGCTCCCGGCCCGCGACCATAGAGGAGAGACCGCACTCGCTTCCTAACCCCCTCAACCCCGCGACCTCCCCGCTGCCTAGAGCGGCCACTCCCAGACGGAGGACGTTAACGCATGCGTACTACCGCAGGTCCCGCCCTTCCCTCTTTGCAGGGCTGGGGCACCGGAGTTACGCCCGGAGGAGGAGGAGGGTGTCGGTATTTGCTCCTTCTGGGCACTTTTTCTATATCTGAAAGAAACAGCTTTGCCTAGACATGAAGTAATATTAGAAGGCCGCATTATATTCTTCACATATTTTTGGCTTCACATTGTATGCAGAAAATCAAAGGACCATGGCTAAAGTTCCATTTGCAGTGTTAAAATCGTAATTAAAGCAACCTTTATCGCCACGTTCCCATCCCGCGCCCCCCCCCCGCCCCCTGCGTCTTGTTGAGAACTCAGGGTGATTATCTGATTTAAATCGCTGGTCTGGAGGGTATTAAAGTGCTAATTTGAGATGACATGTTTTCTACCTATCAAATTAGAGTAAAAGGATTGGCAATCTTTTTACCAATCTCCCTGCTAGCAGGGAGTGTGTAAACTCATTTTCTGGAGGATAATCTGGCAATGGGTAAAAATGTGGAGTATACATAAAGCAAATGTATTTCACAGGGCTTGTAGGTTTTCCAAAGCTTTGCAGTTTCAAATGTTAACCTTGCAAGAGACAGGAAAATTTCCCCAGGCAATAGTCTCTGTTATAAGATAAAGAATTGTAACACAGCAAGGTTGTTGGCTCAAAGACGGACAAGTTAATTGATTGATTAATATGTAAAGTTGATTGATATGTAAAGATACTGGGAAATTGCTGTAAGAAGAGAGTGTTTGCTAAAATCAAGCTTTTGTTGGTGGATGACTTAACTTCTTGCAAATTGCATTTTAGAATGTCACCTTGCTTGTTTTACCGAATGTTACCAGCTTCTATTAAACTTGTTAAACTACACTTAGCAAAAACCCCACCTCTGTTCTCTTCCTAAGACTTCCTGGTCTGGAGAATAAATGCGGGAAAGTGAGCCGAGATGCCGGGTACCATTCGAGCTTTATTAAAGAAAGACATCTGCTGGGCTGTGCTCTGAGTGGCACAGGGCCCGTGGCTGCCCTGAAAATGGTGGACAACACCAACAATGGGTTTGCAAGAGTTTATATTAGCTTTTGGGCATGAAATGCACGGGGGGAGAGACCATTAGGTTGATGTAACTGGGTGGATAATTGCACTGATGCAGAAGCCGGAAAGTTGTTTCTAAATCAAGAGGCTTCTCTAAAGGGAAGGGGAGAGGGGAGGGGAGGAGGTGGACAGCGCCATTTTGTACTTGGGCTTGTCTAAAGCGGCGCTGGTTATGTTGCAGATCTATTACCTTTATTCACTTATTATAAGTGATTTATTTATAAGTACAGTTCACGTACGTTATCACCGCTGATCCTCAACAAAGCTCTAAAAAATTGGGGCGTAGGAAAGTTGAATACGTATTAACAAACGGCCGAGCTAGCATTTGAAAACAGGTCATCTGGGCTGGTTGGGTTAGTTAGAGCGCGGTGTTAATAATGTCAAGGGTTCTGATCTTTGTACTGACCAGCCACCAAAAAGAAAAAGAAAACACGTCATCTAACCAACTTCATAGTCGGCTCTGTGAAAGGCCAAGGTGAATTCATTCATTCAACCCATGTTTATTGAGCGTCTATTGCTAGACTGTGGGGATCAACAGCAACCCCAAACTAACATACAACTCTCTTTGGGCAAGACCTCGCCGTATTCTCAGTGGCTAGTGCAGCAGATAAAGGTCCCAGCTTTGCTTCTCCTGATCACCTAAATAATAACCCCCATTATTCTCTATTGTGATTATCACAAGTGTTTCCAAATGGCAAATTTGATTCCTGGCTGGCTTTCTTCTTCCTACCCCAAGTTAAAGCTCCAGTGGGGAAGGGACCATGTTTTCCTATTCATCACTGTATATCCACCCTTATCGCAGTGGCTGGCACATAACAGAAACCCTGTTAATACTTACTGATGGACTGGATCGGTTTCTTCTCCTAAAGTGAATGCCCCCACAAATAAGGCCACGCCTCGGGGACTTCCAAAACTGCGCTCCTCCCTCCCCGCAAGGTGTGAAAGGAGCCCAGTCTTGGCCCCGCCCCCCCGTGACGTGAGCGCTGACGCAGGCGCAACAGGCGCGCGCTGTTTCCGGAAGTCGGCGCTGCAGTCTCTGCTGCTGCCGTCGCAGCAGCTGCCGCGGGTCGCCGGGGAACTCTGGGAGTAGAACGGCTGAGGCGGGCCTGGGGTTCCGGCCACTGTGCAGAATGGAGATAATCAGAAGCAGTGCGTGTCCGCCGTGCACCTCCCCACTTGCCCACGCCCTCTCTCGCCCGGCCTTCTAGGCCCAGGCCACGGCCGGCCTGGGTGGCTGGGCCTGGGGCGGAGGCAGCCCTTTAGGGCTTTACCCTCCTTAAGCCCATGCGTCTCTTGGGGCCTTGTGCCGCTGCGGGCCGTGCACCCCTAGGGACCTTGTCCTCTTCCAGCCCGGGCGCCCCCGGGACCTTGGCCCTCTCCCGCCCGTGTACCCCTCGGGGACTTGAGCCCCTTCGGCCCGTGCACATCTCCGGGACTGTCCCCTCTGGCTCACGGCCTTAGGAGCTCCTCGGCCTTCCTTCCCTCTCCCCTTAGGAGCCTGTGGGCAGGAAGCCAGGCCACCGGTTCTGAGCCTCTTCTCGGTTTCTCCACAGATTTTAAGAGTAATCTTCACAAAGTGTACCAGGCCATAGAGGAGGCGGACTTCTTCGCCATCGATGGGGAGTTTTCAGGTATCCCTCCCTTGCAAGCGTGGGGCTGGCTCCTTGCCGTGCATAGCCAAGGCTCCTTCAGCCCCGCGGCGCTCGACTTCTCGTGCCTATTGGCGGCTCTTCGCTGTTTGCAGCGTTGGGCTGGTTGCATAAGTCTCAACGTGTCTTTTTAAAGCTTCGAAAGCACGGAAGAGATGCGGTGGATTCGTGATTGTTTGGACTGTGAGGATTGCAGAAGGAGATTATGGTTTTTGGAGCTGCTTAAGACAGACATGTACAGGGTAGAAAGCTGGAGTGTTAGAGCCAGGTTTTTTGTTAATTGTGGTAAAACATAACATAACAATATTTATCATTTTAGCCATTTTTAAAGTGGTTTTACAGTTCAGTGGCGTGAAGTATCTTCACGTTGCTGTGCAACCATCACTGTCCATCTCTAGAGAGCTTTTTCATCTTTCCAAACTGATAATCCCTATACATTGAACTCTTCATTCCTTTCTTCCCCCAACCTCTGGCAACCATCGTTTGTCTCTGAATTTGACTACTCTAGACACCTTGTAAGTGGAATCATAAAATTTTTGTCCTTTTGTGACTGGCTAGGGTCAGTCTGTTGCAGGTAAATGAGGGTATTAATGTATGCGTTAGTGGTGCCTACCTTGGATGGTGTATGTGTAATACTTTACCAACACTTCTTATTTCAAAGTTTTTTTAGGCCGGCCCGTGGCTCACTCGGTAGAGTGTGGTGCTGATAACACCAAGGCCACGGGTTCGGATCCTATATAGGGATGGCCGGTTTGCTCACTGGCTGAGCGTGGTGCTGACAACACCAAGCCAAGGGTTGAGATCCCCTTACCGGTCATCTTTTTAAAAAAAAAAAGTTTTTTTAATCCTAATTTTTAAATTGTTGACATCAGTATGAACAGTTCACTCCCTTTTGTATAGATACCCATTTTGGCTACCTGATTTTGCAATGTTTAAAAAACTCTAGCTCTTCTTTTTCTCTTCTTTTTTTAAAAAGATGACCGGTAAGGGGATCTTAACCCTTGACTTGGTGTTGTCAGCACCACGCTCTCCCAAGTGAGCTAACCGGCCATCCCTATATAGGGATAACACGCATGGCCTTGGAGTTATCAGCACCACACTCTCCCAAGTGAGCCATGGACCGGCCCCTCCCTAGCTCTTTCTTAAGAAATCCATGCTGGGGTAAATATAATCCTTGGCTAGTTTCTAGTAGGAGTTAATTCCCTTGGAAGCTGAATTTTCACCAGAAATAATTTTCTCTTGGCCTCAGAGATAGAGTAGTTCCCCCTTGTTTGCGGGGTGTATGTTCCAGGACCTCCAGTGGATTCCTGAAACCGCTAATAACAGCAAAACCTATATATCGTTTTTTCCTAAGTACCTACTTATGATAAAATTTAGTTAATAAATTAAGCACAGAAAGAGATTAACAACAATAACTAATAAAATAGAACAGTTATAACAATATACTGTAATAAAAGTTTATGTGAATGTGGTGTCTCTCAAAATATCTTATTGTTCCCTACTTTCCGTTTTTTCTTTTTTTTTTAATTTAAAAAGATGACCGGTAAGGGGATCTTAACCCTTGACTTGGTGTTGTCAGCACCACGCTCAGCCAGTGAGCGAACCGGCCATCCCTATATGGGATCTGAACCCGGGGCCTTGGTGTTATCAGCACCACACTCTCCGGAGTGAGCCACGGGCCGGCCCTACTTTCCTATTTTTGGACCACAGTTGACTGGGTAACTAAAACTGAGGGCAGAAAAACGAGATTAAGGGGGGGGACAACTGTACCTTTGTTGTTATAGGTGTTATTCCAAATTGGTGACCAAGACTGATACTCTATCAATAATATACTTAAGGGTTTGTTGATGTCTGTTTATGCATTAGTCCTTTAGAAAGCAGCAAAATTTATTAAAGCCAGAGGTGTTTTCTTAAATGATTACTGTTTCGAGACCCATTTTAGATGCTAGAGTTGCCATTCTCAAGTTGAAACATATCTCTAAGTTCATTGTTATAGAGTTTAGCTTAGTAGCCAGTGAAATTAATGCTAATTTTGAAAAAGTGAGGTAGGGAGCAGTTCCAATAATCTTAGTTCATAAGAATATGAAATTATAGAGACATTGAATGGTTGACTGACATTCTTACATTAGCATTTATTAATAGCTAAAACCTTTTATTTCTTAAAATCTAGGAATCAGTGATGGACCTTCAGTGACCACATTAACAAATGGTTTTGACACTCCAGAAGAGAGGTATCAGAAGCTTAAAAAGGCAAGTGGACGTGCTGAGAAGACTTTTTCTTTACCATGTTGATCCTCCTTATGTTAAATTATAGAGAAATATAATTGTTAAATTTGTATATTAAGGTTTTCTAATAACAAGTGCAGCACTTCTTCTCAACCCTCAGCCATGAAGCAATATTTTAGTGATATTTAAAACAGCAAAAATAATTGTTTGCTGGAAAACATTTTGAAGAAGGCTTACTTTTTCAGTGTTAATTTGATTTACAGGAAATATAATGTGGTTATTTTAATCACTAGGAAATAAGCCTAATGATGCTCTGGATGATGGATAGGTGCTTAATTGGGAAAAAATATATATAAATTAATAAAGCTTCTGATACATAATCTGCCTAATCTGTTCTAATTGGAGGTATTCTGCCAAAGTCAAGTTGAGTAATTCAGAAAGCCCACCTAATTGAGCATACTATACAATTGATCTTGTCAGATATGCAGCACTATTGTGACAGATGTTTTATTTCCCTTTTCCAGCATTCCATGGACTTTTTGCTGTTTCAGTTTGGCCTTTGCACTTTTAAGTATGACTACACAGATTCAAAGTAGGTTGCTTTAACAAGTGGCGGGAATTCTTTTGTTGTGTCATAGTATAACACCCTGAGTCTTCTTTTCTTATTTTCTCAGGTACATAACAAAGTCATTTAATTTCTATGTTTTCCCGAAACCCTTCAATAGATCCTCACCAGATGTCAAATTTGTTTGTCAGGTTAGTAGCATAATTGAGTTTTTTCTTTAATGAATTACTTATGAAGCAGTATGAAAATGTGTAATCAGAATTCTCTTTAAAATTTGGTTTTACTACTGGCTCTGGGCAAATCATTTCACCTCTCAGAATGAATTAATGAATTAATTTCAGAATGAATTAAGGAATAAGATGCAAAGTTAGGCAAAGATGGAAATCAGAACATGAGCTTTATTATTATTAAAGCTGAATTTGAGAACATGGCTTCTGAATGTGGCTTTATTTGGTATTTTTAATATCTTATTCCTGAATTGAACCTACACATCAGGACTTGCAGCCTTTCCCTAATCCCTTTCTTTTATCCACTCCAAGGTTTGAGCTTTATTTTCTGGAAGAGCAGAGTATGTGTATATGCTGTCCAGTAAGAGACAGCCCAGAAGAGGCTAAGCAACTCTGTTCAGTTCCTTTCCCCAAGTTCACCAATTAGGAAATAGAGTATGGGAAAAGACTAGTGTTTCCTCTTGTGGAGGAGAGAACTTACTTTATGGACCAAGATAAGGATGCAGGAGGTTCCCCCTTAGAATATTTCCTGTAGGATTATTGTAGCTGACCTGGTAGACACTGGCTAGTTAATCTTTTCTCCCTTATAATCTTGCATCCTAGCTTCTGTCCCAATAGCAACATGAGTTCATTTGAGTTGTCACATCTTTCATTCTCTTGCATATAAAGTTATGAAAGCCTGAGGGCCGGCCAGTGGCTCACTTGGGAGAGTGTGGTGCTGACAGCACCAAGTCAGGGGTTAAGATCCCCTTACCGGTCATCTTTGCATCTTTCATTCTCTTGCATATAAAGTTATGAAAGCCTGAGGGCCGGCCAGTGGCTCACGTGGGAGAGTGTGGTGCTGACAGCACCAAGTCAGGGGTTAAGATCCCCTTACCGGTCATCTTTTAAAAAAATAAAATAAAATAAAATAAAATAAAATAAAGTTATGAAAGCCTGGAAAGTAAGTTTCTGAGGGATTGAATCTTATCAGATTCTTTCTGAAATAAGGCAGGATATAAGCAAATGAAATTGAGAGTTAATTGTATGCCTAGGGGCAAAATGGAAAAAGTGAAGGTAATTTTGGTCTGAAACCTTTTCTTAAATTAGCAAGTAAACCGTAGTTGGTATTTCCTTTACCTTGCAATCATTTAACAGCTACTTACCAGTCACTTTGGCATAGGATATGTAATTAAACAGTATTTGTAGATTCTCACTGAGAGAAAAATAGATTCAGTTTGGAAATTTGTGTGGATATCGTTTTCTAGCAGTACCAGGAACAGAGAATTACTTCAGGTGGGTTCCATGGCTGGCTAGGGGTTAATCAAACAAAAGTAGAGGGTGGTAATGAGACACTTTAGGGATGGTGCTCTGTTCTAAAAGACCAACAAGAATGCAGTTATTCAGGGAAAGAAGAACTCCACCCATTGTGCAAACCGTGATACGGCTACACCCAGAACACTTAGTACGTTTCTAGTTGCCAGCCACTCCTTAAAAAAAAAAGATATACTAGAGTCGAATATAGGCCAGAGGCTAATGTCTAAAATGGACAAAGGGATAAAAATGCTGGGATTCTCTAATCTGGAGTAATGAAGGCAGAGAAAATGATTAAACTCTTAGTATGTAAACTTGTGAATTGTATAGATAAGGTAAATGTATCTTTGGATTTTCTCCCTATTGTCCCTTATTTATTCTTCCTGTTGTCCCTTAAAATTCTGTGACTGTTACAGAATTGCATCTTACCCTGGGGAGTTAGGTTCTGGAATCAGCGAGTAGGGTGAAAATTATGTCAAAATCACTCTCAAAAGCTCTGGGCTGGCCCGGTGGCACACTGGAGAGTGCGCTGCTTGGGAGCTCGGCGGCGCTCCCACCGAGGGTTCGGATCCCATGTGGAGACCGGTTCCCGCTCACTGGCTGAGCGCGGAGTGGGCGCAACCCCAAGGGTTGCGATCCTGTTGCCAGTCCCCGGTACGGGCGCGACACCGAGGGTTGCAATCCCGTTACCGGTCAGTAAAAAAAAAGACAAAAAGGAAAAAAAAAAAAAAAGCTCTTATCACCTTTAAAGTGTATAGAATTTGAGGGTAGAACAACCTAATATGTTTTTGAAAAATAGATATCTGTACACACAGATGCTTACACACTAGGCAGGATGTGGAGGAATGGGCTGACAGAACACACACCCAGGGAGACATACACATCGGGTGGAGTGACAGGCAGAATAACATGGCATTTGTATCATTTTTGTCGTCGTCTTTTTCTTTTCTTCCTCTTCCTTTTTCTGGCTGAACATCTATAGTTAAATTCATGTAACGTAATATGTTGTGAAAAATTGGAACATTACTGATATATAGAGAGTAACAATTAATTTCTTTTCTTGCACCCTTTTCCCCATGCCACTTTCTTCCATTTCACTCCTTTTTTTCTAGCATTTATGTACATGTATACATGTACCATATATCTGCACATGTACATAATTTTATCATTTTTCTTTAATATAAACAGAATCTTAATATTCATATTTTATATAACTTGCATTTTCCACTCAACAGAATGTCTTTGTATTTGATTGCATGAATATGTATCATTTGTTTAATCAGTTTCTTACTTGGAATTTAGAGGCTTTCCAATGGTTATAAACAATGCTATAGTTAATATCCATGGGCAGTATATCTATTTGTGTATGTAGGAATTTTTCTGTAGGATAGATTTCCTCGAAGGGGAATTGTTGAGTCATAGGACATATGCATTTAAAATTTTAAAATAGTGCCTCAAATTTTACTCCCAAATAGCTGTGCTTGTCTCTTGTATCTTGAAAATGGTGCATTTAGGGAAAGTCAAAGGTAGTAGACAGTAAACCAGAAATAGATTCTGTTGGTTCAAAGGTTTTTTTTATTTTTAATTGTGGTAAAATATACATAACATAAAATTTACCATGCTAACCATTTAAAAATGTATAGTTTAGTGGCATTAAGTATATTCACATGGTTGTACAACCCAAAGGATGGTGTTTTATTGGAAAATAAATAGCTTCCAAAAAGGAATAAATGAATCTTCGATTCTGGATTTGATGGAATAAAGGAAAGTAGGATGTTTTGGAGTCTAGTACAGGAAGGACAAAAATGCCTTTCCATAATCCTTCTTTCGGTGCCTTTGTCACAGGTGGAATATTTAGGTGGGTAGAATTATAAGAATGCTTAGGCATGGTAGACAAGGAAGGAGGCTGGTGGACTAAGTCAGAAGATACTGGGTCTTGATTCAGGACAAGTTTTTAAAAAGTGGGGCTCTGGGGAAGGTTGCTTGTTGAAAACTATAGAAAACCTGGCCCCGATGGAAAATAATTTGCATATACCCAAGTTCGTATGTGTGTGTATGTCTGTGGTAAGATTGTTTTTTTTGCATCCTACCATGTTTTAAAAAGGATTTGTGTTGGCTAATAAAGATACATATAGTATTTACCTTTGAGTATAAGATTTTTTTTTTTTTTTTGTCTTTTGTCTTTTTTCCGTGTCCGGCAACGGATCGCAACCCTCAGTGTTGCCCCCGTACCGGACCGGGGACCGGCAACGGGATTGCAAACCTCGGTGTTGCTCCCGCGCCTCGCTCAGCCAGTGAGCGGGAACCGGTCTGTATGTGGGATCCAAACCCTCGGGCGGGAGCGCCGCTGCGCTTCCCAAGCGGTGCACTATCCAGTGCGCCACCGGGCCGGTCCTGAGTATAAGATTTTTTTAAAAAGTAAATAAAAAATTGAAAGAAAAGAAACATGATATGATTACTGTGGTATGAATAGAACTATAAGATTTTTTTTAAAAGTAAATAAAAAATTGAAAGAAAAGAAACATGATATGATTACTGTGGTATGAATAGAACACAGAATTCATGCCAAAGAAAGTCTCAACTTTTTGTCTCTGAGCTTCCTAGCAACTAAGAAAAGAGGGAAACAGTTCTGTGGTCAACAGGATCAAAACATTCCAGGGCTCAGGAGAAGTACAACTCTTCCCAGAATAGAGACTTCAGAACATTTACCTTTTAGTTATCATAAAGAAATCATTAATTTAGAAAACTTTGTCTTCACTTACATTTCTTTTTTTTTTTTTTTTTTAAAAGATGACCGGTAAGGGGATCTTAACCCTTGACTTGGTGTTGTCAGCACCACGCTCAGCCAGTGAGCGAACTGCCCATCCCTATATAGGATTTGAACCCGTGGCCTTGGTGTTATCAGCACATGGATATTTAACTAGATGTAAGTACCCTGA